AAAAACAAAAAAAATCTGGCCTAGGTATCTGCAGCTATGCAACAATCAAAGTGCAGTATCGTTTGGGAACTCTTTTTTTGAAAATAAAATCTAGACCAAGAGAGAATGGGAGAGAGAAAACGGAGCAGAGAGAGAGCCCTGGTGTGATAAAAAACCATAACGCAACGATCTCAATATTTTTTATTTTGAAATTCTTATTTGGAGGGAATGTCTGGCGGCACCAGATTTAGAAACAAAATTTCCGTTTGTTTTCAGCGGCGATAAGAATTTGAATTGCATGCGTTGTTCTACACACACATACATACAAATGTGTATTTGTATGAAATTACGGATAACAAAGAGTCATTTTTTTAAAGATTCAAAATATTTTCTTTAAAAAATCCACGCCTTGTGTTGGACCCTTGAAAAAATCTAATTTAAAAAATCCACGCCTTGTGTTGGACCCTTGAAAAAATCTAATTTAAAAAATCCACGCCTTGTGTTGGACCCTTGAAAAAATCTAATTTAAAAAATCCACGCCTTGTGTTGGACCCTTGAAAAAATCTAATTTAAAAAATCCACGCCTTGTGTTGGACCCTTGAAAAAATCTAATTTAAAAAATCCACGCCTTGTGTTGGACCCTTGAAAAAATCTAATTTAAAAAATCCACGCCTTGTGTTGGACCCTTGAAAAAATCTAATTTAAAAAATCCACGCCTTGTGTTGGACCCTTGAAAAAATCTAATTTAAAAAATCCACGCCTTGTGTTGGACCCTTGAAAAAATCTAATTTAAAAAATCCATCTAATTTAAAAAATCCACGCCTTGTGTTGGACCCTTGAAAAAATCTAATTTAAAAAATCCACGCCTTGTGTTGGACCCTTGAAAAAATTTAATTTAAAAAATCCACGCCTTGTGTTGGACCCTTGAAAAGATATTCTTTAAAAAATCCACGCCTTGTGTTGGACCCTTGAAAAAATATTCTTTAAAAAATCCACGCCTTGTATAGACCCTTGTGTTGGACCCTTGAAAAATCTACTTTAAAAAATCCACGCCTTGTATAGACCCTTGAAAAATCTACTTTAAAAAATCCACGCCTTGTATAGACCCTTGAAAAATCTACTTTAAAAAATCCACGCCGTGTATAGACCCTTGAAAAATCTACTTTAAAAAATCCACGCCTTGTATAGACCCTTGAAAAATCTACTTTAAAAAATCCACGCCTTGTATAGACCCTTGAAAAATCTACTTTAAAAAATCCACGCCTTGTATAGACCCTTGAAAAATCTACTTTAAAAAATCCACGCCTTGTATAGACCCTTGAAAAATCTACTTTAAAAAATCCACGCCTTGTATAGACCCTTGAAAAATCTACTTTAAAAAATCCACGCCTTGTATAGACCCTTGAAAAATCTACTTTAAAAATCCACGCCTTGTATAGACCCTTGAAAAATCTACTTTAAAAAATCCACGCCTTGTATAGACCCTTAAAAAAATATTTTTAAAAAATCCACGCCTTGTATAGACCCTTGTGTTGGACCCTTAAAAAAATCTACTTTAAAAAATCCACGCCTTGTGTTGGACCCTTGAAAAAAATATTCTTTAAAAAATCCACGCCTTGTATAGACCCTTGTGTTGGACCCTTAAAAAAATCTACTTTAAAAAATCCACGCCTTGTGTTGGACCCTTGAAAAATCTACTTTAAAAAATCCCCGCCTTGTATAGACCCTTGTGTTGGACCCTTAAAAAAATCTACTTTAAAAAATCCACGCCTTGTATAGACCCTTGTGTTGGACCCTTAAAAAAATCTACTTTAAAAAATCCACGCCTTGTATAGACCCTTGTGTTGGACCCTTAAAAAAATCTACTTTAAAAAATCCACGCCTTGTGTTGGACCCTTGAAAAATCTACTTTAAAAAATCCACGCCTTGTGTTGGACCCTTGAAAAATCTACTTTAAAAAATCCACGCCTTGTGTTGGACCCTTGAAAAATCTACTTTAAAAAATCCACGCCTTGTGTTGGACCCTTGAAAAAATCCACTTTAAAAAATCCACGCCTTGTGTTGGACCCTTGAAAAAATCTACTTTAAAAAATCCACGCCTTGTGTTGGACCCTTGAAAAAATCTACTTTAAAAAATCCACGCCTTGTGTTGGACCCTTGAAAAAATCTACTTTAAAAAATCCACGCCTTGTGTTGGACCCTTGAAAAAATCTAATTTAAAAAATCCACGCCTTGTGTTGGACCCTTGAAAAAATCTAATTTAAAAAATCCACGCCTTGTGTTGGACCCTTGAAAAAATCTAATTTAAAAAATCCACGCCTTGTGTTGGACCCTTGAAAAAATCTAATTTAAAAAATCCACGCCTTGTGTTGGACCCTTGAAAAAATCTAATTTAAAAAATCCACGCCTTGTGTTGGACCCTTGAAAAAATCTAATTTAAAAAATCCACGCCTTGTGTTGGACCCTTGAAAAAATCTAATTTAAAAAATCCACGCCTTGTGTTGGACCCTTGAAAAAATTTAATTTAAAAAATTCACGCCTTGTGTTGGACCCTTGAAAAGATATTCTTTAAAAAATCCACGCCTTGTGTTGGACCCTTGAAAAAATATTCTTTAAAAAATCCACGCCTTGTATAGACCCTTGTGTTGGACCCTTGAAAAATCTACTTTAAAAAATCCACGCCTTGTATAGACCCTTGAAAAATCTACTTTAAAAAATCCACGCCTTGTATAGACCCTTGAAAAATCTACTTTAAAAAATCCACGCCGTGTATAGACCCTTGAAAAATCTACTTTAAAAAATCCACGCCTTGTATAGACCCTTGAAAAATCTACTTTAAAAAATCCACGCCTTGTATAGACCCTTGAAAAATCTACTTTAAAAAATCCACGCCTTGTATAGACCCTTGAAAAATCTACTTTAAAAAATCCACGCCTTGTATAGACCCTTGAAAAATCTACTTTAAAAAATCCACGCCTTGTATAGACCCTTGAAAAATCTACTTTAAAAAATCCACGCCTTGTATAGACCCTTGAAAAATCTACTTTAAAAATCCACGCCTTGTATAGACCCTTGAAAAATCTACTTTAAAAAATCCACGCCTTGTATAGACCCTTAAAAAAATATTTTTAAAAAATCCACGCCTTGTATAGTGTTGGACCCTTAAAAAAATCTACTTTAAAAAATCCACGCCTTGTGTTGGACCCTTGAAAAAAATATTCTTTAAAAAATCCACGCCTTGTATAGACCCTTGTGTTGGACCCTTAAAAAAATCTACTTTAAAAAATCCACGCCTTGTGTTGGACCCTTGAAAAATCTACTTTAAAAAATCCCCGCCTTGTGTTGGACCCTTGAAAAAATCTACTTTAAAAAATCCACGCCTTGTGTTGGACCCTTGAAAAAATCTACTTTAAAAAATCCACGCCTTGTGTTTGACCCTTGAAAAAATCTACTTTAAAAAATCCACGCCTTGTGTTGGACCCTTGAAAAATCTACTTTAAAAAATCCACGCCTTGTGTTGGACCCTTGAAAAATCTACTTTAAAAAATCCACGCCTTGTGTTGGACCCTTGAAAAATCTACTTTAAAAAATCCACGCCTTGTGTTGGACCCTTGAAAAAATCCACTTTAAAAAATCCACGCCTTGTGTTGGACCCTTGAAAAAATCTACTTTAAAAAATCCACGCCTTGTGTTGGACCCTTGAAAAAATCTACTTTAAAAAATCCACGCCTTGTGTTGGACCCTTGAAAAAAATCTACTTTAAAAAATCCACGCCTTGTGTTGGACCCTTGAAAAAATCTACTTTAAAAAATCCACGCCTTGTGTTGTACTCTTGAAAAAATCTACTTTAAAAAATTCAAGCCTTGTGTTGGACCCTTGAAAAAATCTACTTTAAAAAATCCACGCCTTGTGTTGGACCCTTGAAAAAATCTACTTTAAAAAATCCACGCCTTGTGTTGGACCCTTGAAAAAATCTACTTTAAAAAATTCACGCCTTGTGTTGGACCCTTGAAAAATCTACTTTAAAAAATTCACGCCTTATATTGATCCTTGAAAAAATATTCTTTAAAAAATCCACGCCTTGTTTTGGACCCTTAAAAAATATTCTTAAAAAAATCCACGCCTTGGATAGACCTTTGAAAAAATCTAATTTAAAAAATCCACGCGTTGTGTTAAACCCTTGAAAAATATTCTTTAAAAAATCCACGCCTTGTGTTAAACCCTTGAAAAATATTCTTTAAAAAATCCACGAAAAATATTCTTTAAAAAATCCACGCCTTATATAGACCTTTGAAAAGTATTCTTTAAAAAATCCACGCTTTGTATATACCCTTGAAAAGTATTCTTAAAAAAATCTACGCCTTGTATAGACCCTTGAAAAAATCTAATTTAAAAAATCTACGCCTTGTATAGACCCTTGTAAAAATCTAATTTAAAAAATCCACGCCTTGTATAGACCTATGAAAAAATATTTTTTAAAAGGTCCACCCCTGTTGGTATCATCAAAAAAATATTTTATTTTTAATTTTCTTTAGAAAATTCACGCCTGTTGAAAAAATGTTTGCTGGGTTGTCTTATTATGCTCAGCAGGAGAGAAACTACTCCATCGTGAGAAACCAAACATTTGTTGATAAGACGACAACTGTTTGTCTTCCTTGTGTGAGCATGCAGAGAGTGAGTGAGCGAACACAGCTAGACAGACCCGCCGTCAGCCTACCAGCCAAGTGATCTACGCGTTAAACAAAACTGGAATGCATTGCTGTTGTAGTTCAACACCGGCTATTGAGTGGAACGCATTCATATCAAAAGACTGGCAAGATCAGCCAGCCAACTATTCCAACTAAGCAACCCACCAACCTACCGACCAAGATTGTCGTGCTAACCAGTTTACAACAGAACAATAACGTGAAACGTATACCGCGGAACAAGGCAACGTGAGAACACACCCACTTATCTATTTACGGATCATAAAAAAAAAAACAAAATATTAAAAAAAATTGAAAAATTAAAGCAATCTCGCCATGAATCGACCAGCCTTGTATCACCAATATAACGAAGTCCAGCGCTATGTGGCCGACAAGGTTTGGAATAAATATTCCAAATGGTTGCAGTGGCGTTACGATGGCCAGGATATCCTCTTGGATGTGGGCACCGGTACCGGTAATGTTCTCATGGAAATCGTCAAACCGCGCATCACCAAATCGTATCGGAAAATTGTCGGTGTCGATGTGGCGCCCGATGCCATAGAATTTGCCCAAAATTATTATCGTTCGCCGAAAAAGTGTGAATTTCGTGTTATGGACATCTGTACGGAACTGCCCATGCCGAAAGATCTGATGGGACAAATCGATCATGTCACATCATTCAATTGCCTACATTGGCTAGAGAATCAAGAGTAAGTAGTGTGAGCAGCAGCTGTGTTATCAGTCCGTCAGGCAGTGTATGGAGTCCGACGAACCGCAAAATAAAAACAAAGTCTATGTGGGGCTATTAAAATTCACCAGTCACTGCTAAACGCCTCGTATTTGCATGTTAAATACATTAGACCATTTACAGCAGCAGAAGCAGCAGCGGCGTAGTTCAAGGTTTTGCTAGCGAAAACTAGAGAATGGATGACAGGGGAGGGGGTTGGGGAGTCGACAATATTATCCAAAGAGCGAGACTGTCACGTTCTGTGCCTATCCAACAACAACTTGGAAGTGTGTCTTAAAATAGCAAGAAAAAAACAAAATAAATAAACAAATAAAAATT